AAAAATTGGGCATAGGTTCCCCGGATGACCCCTAACCGGGGGCCAACGGTGCTTCCACAAGTTCAACAAGTGAAAAATACATGATACAAAATGTACATGTATTTACTACCTGGAACTTGGAGCAAGTTATTCCAAAGATGTACTTACTGACATTAATATATTAAAAACTAAACCAAATCCTATTTCCCAAACAAATCACATATTGACACAGCTGAACAAATAAAAATGTGATCATGTCTATAAACTCCACTCAAAAACAATTTTTGAGAGACACTCGGGTACTAAGCGTGATAATCTCTAATATCTCATCTGATTCTCCCAATGTAAAGGATCTTTACAATCACAGCATCCAACCGCACATACATAGAAACAACAATATTACACAAGAAACCAATAAATTCGGAAAATTTCTCAGTAATGTTTGAAAATTATTCTTATTAAAATATAAGTGAATTTTTATTTCAGTTGTAGCCGAAAAAAATATTTTTCATGCGTTTAAAGTATCGTTTTAGCACTGTAATATGTAATGTACTTAGTACATGTCTTATACATTTGGATGCTATCTTGACCTTTGACCACTGTTTAACAGACAAAATGGCCGACCTGCTTTTTACAATAATATTGTAAAAAGCAGGTCGGCCATTTTGTCTTTCTCGCCGTGGCTTTTCGTAGCCGTTTTTTCGTAGCAAAATTTCTAACCATTTTAAACATTTTACGGCCTCAAAAACTCATACAACGAGGAAAACAAGTTGTAGTTGTTATTTTCATGCGTAACATTTCTTCTGGGGATGGTTTATTTTTCCGCCGAGCTGCCGAAAACTAGCGTCAAACCGCAACCATGCGGTTTCTTCGCGGCGGCCGGCGGGAGTTTTTGTATCGGAGCTTTCACGATGTAAACAAAGATAGTCGGAGTTGTTTATCTGAAAATTTTGTTGTGAAACGCCAGCGGGGTATCAGATTTTCTACTAATGACAACGTTTTCTTTGTGGCGTCATGGCGAGATCGACAATTCATCGACAATTCACAGGAATTTGTGCCGACAATGGAATGAATTTTCCCGGAACTTTTCCGATTTTGAAAAAAGAAATAAACGTACCGTCTAAAATAAGAATGTACCGGGTGGATTTTGAGGCGAAAAAAAATAAACGTACCGGTACGTTTAATAGAGAGCCGAGAGTATTTCAATGCAAGATGAGCCAAAAGTCGTTGCCCCTAAACCCTCAAATGCAACAACATCAGTTCCAACGTTCAGATTCTGTATTCGAATTTTCGAAAGCGGCGCACGCGGTTAGGGCGAAACGCGTTCGAATCGTTCTATGGAAGCCATGGAACCCGGGCCGTACCATAAAGTACGGCCCATTACGGTACCCGTTATCGAACGTTACCCCGGGTATGATATAAATATCTACATACATGTATAAGAAACAATGTATCATGGAAATGCCAGAAGGAAGAATTGATAGAAGTTCCTTTCAAATCCTCCTTTGAAATGTGGTTACAGTCAAACCGCAGCCCAAGAAGACCACTCAGATGACCAATAAAATCTGGTCTATTTAAACAGGTGGTCACTTCTTCATGCCTTATATCAATGGGAAAATTATCTAAGGTACATATGTAAGGGCCACCAATAAGTGGTCACATTGACCAGGTGGTCCTTATGTAGAGGTGTTCACCTGTACATGTTTGCCTGTACTTCCTCTGTCTGAGTTTTTAGAAATGTATGATGACCTAAAAAAAACAAGAAAATGTCCATTTGTTATGTTTGCCACGTTTCCTCTTCTTCTTCTGTTCCAAACACTAACCTCAATGACCTGATTTGTTGACGTCTGTCACCATTGTAACTGGTGTTGGGTTACATAATTTTATTAGTAGGAGGGATTTAGACTCCTGTCTGACCATATATATGAATGTATTTGAGCAGACCATATGCGAAGGTAAACATTATTCATTTGCTTTGCAAATACTAAATTCTAGTATTAATATTTGATAACTTCTTATGTTTCCTCAGCGTTACTGCCCGGACAGCAGTTCCAGTGACAGTGATGATGATGATGAGAGGATAGTCGTGACTAAGAAGCCCCCTCCCAGGAGGAGGAAGTTTAACATGAACTCCAGCGTAGCCAAGACTGGGAACCTGTACACCGGCCTGGTCAAGGACCTGTTCTCTGTCAACATGGCCACCTTGTCAGACAAACACGACTCGGGTGAGGGCTCAAAATTAAAGGTGGTCCAATGGCCACTGACCACTAAAATTTAGGCTGGGACAACTAAAAAGACACTTTGGGACATTTTGGGGACAATAGAAAAATAATCAACATCAGAATGTCAGCCCTACTTTTGTTTATCAGGCACACGTCCTGGCTTTTGGATCCAGAAAAGTCCACCCAAATTTCCTGTCTACTCTGCAGTTATAGTGCGCCTAGGAGTGAACATAAGCAAAATGAAGTTGACTTCAAGTTGAAGTCATACAACATACACTTCCCGAAAAATAGGCTGGGACAGTTCATCCTCACTTTGGGACAATTACTAGTAAAATGTATTTTTGGGACAGTGCTGGGACAATAGGAAGAAAAGTTAATTTCGAGGTCTGCTAACTATTTTTGCCTCGAAGTACGGAGGTATTGCTTTCAATGGGTATGTTTGTGTGTGTGTTTGTGTTTGTGTGTCCGTAGCGTGTGATGAGGAAGTGAGAGGGACATTTTTGTTGACACAGAAAGGAAGTTAGGTCAAAGGTCCCAAATAGGTCCTGGACTCGTAGAAAAGGTTATCGCATTTCCTGCTTTCCGTTTCCTGCTGTATACATGTACGTCTATGGGAGCAAATGGGAAAAAGCATAGAAAAATGCATACACTCACTTCTGAATCAGCAATTTCAAGAAATTCACAATAATAAGACATAAGAAAAGCTTTATTAGCATTGAACAGATTCATAAAATATCTGAATTGTCACTAATTTACAAATACAATGTCAAATTTCACGCAGAATTAAAAACCTTAAGAGAAACATTGTTACATTAACATTTACAAGTTTGCAATTTTAAAATTACAGAGATCAAATTATACATTTGTAGATATTCATAGTATTACCTGCTTTAAAAAATTACGGGTGAAATAATTTCAGAGATTCGTTATACAGTAATGTTGATTGGTATAGGAAATGTCAATGAATTGCCAAAAAACGTTAAAAGATTAATTTTTTTATTGTCTTACAGATGAAGAGAACAATGGTGGTATTGTCGTATTTGTTCCGAGCAAGTCCAAGGTGAGGAAGACCAGCCCAGAAACCTCCAACCCAGCCATGAACTCCAGAACAGAAGACTCAACCACTTTACTGGTCCTCAGCTCTGATGAAGAGGAGCAAAGCACAGACATCAGGTTGGTTTGGATAATTGTACTGTAAGCTCACTTATATTCATAGGGATTTAAGGTTTCCTAACTGGCTAATTTGGTAGTTTAACTTTCCATCGTTTTGTCACAGAAGAAATTTAGAAAGAACTGTAGTTGTACTGAATTTATGGACCATATGGATGACGTCAACATATTTTATTGCCCCAAATATAATTATCTTTAAAGTTATAATACAGCACTTTGGTACAAATAACTGCAATAAAAGTATGATTTTCATGTGCATAATGGTCAAAGCTACAAACGAACGTATGCACAAATCGATATCTACTAATTACCCGTAGTTATTAAAGAATAACCTAATAACCTAATAGCCTTTATTTATTCTCTAATAACTTCGGGTAATTAGTAGATATCAATGTGCAAATCATGTGTTCATAGCAATGATAAATGCGCCATACAGAAGTGACCACAAAAAAACTTGAATATACATATAAAAGAACCACAAATATAAAGTGATTCACAGTAAATCAATTTGAAGACAAATTGACAAGTAGAAATGTGAAGTTTCAGGTCTCCAGAAGACAGAAGTCATACCGGTACATGTATGTCCAGAGAGAGATCGCCCTCCCCACCACCCCCACCTCCCATGTCTTTTGACTCCCTGCTCCATGATGTCAACAGACTCAGGGCTACCAAGGCAAGGAAAGGCACTGAGAAGATCCTCAGGTAATACTACAGATGCAGCATGGAAAATACCTGGTGGCGCAGTTGCCCCGGGCAACCAAATTTTACTTGGGGCAACCTATTTTTGAACCTAGGTAGCCCAGTGTGCTACCTGAATTTTATGAATGCCCACTTGGCTTGCACCACTGTATCTGGCAGATGCTTTTTAATTTTAGGTATTAATGGCTATTACTAGACTAAGTATCAGTTAACTAAAGGCTGTTAGAAATATTGTCAAAGGCTTATGTACATGTAGGTAACATAACTTAATTTGAGGAAAGTAGTAACTAAAGATATAGGTGGGGCAACCTAAAATTCTGATGGGCAACCTAATTTTTGCCACTGGGCAATTTGGTTCAAAAAAGTATTTTGTACACTGTGTATTTATGTGACTTTAGGCCACACCAATTTGATTTGTTGGTTCTCGGATTTTTCAGAAAAAATATCAAGTGACGGCAAAAAAAAAAAATAGAAAGAAAGACAGACCTAGGCATCCTCTGATAGCCCCAGTAGATATGATAGGTGCCATGACATCAACATACCAGGCTGTTTCGTAATTCAAAAAAATGAATTTCAAAATCTAAAATTGAAAAAAAAATCAATGGAAACTTTATTGCACAACATTTGTAATGGATACAATATATACCCTAGCAAATTACTAGTAAACAGTTCTATACCATAAGTATGATATCTACGCTATTCTATTTATAGGGAACAGGAACTACATAGTAAAAATGCGCAGGCCTAGGAGGTGTTGTGTACATATAAAGGTTTGTGACATTTGCATATTGGACCGTTCTATTTCTCCACAGGGGTGTGGATGCTGCACTGAGAACAGTAAGGAGAAGAGAGGAGCCAGCCGGGCTGTCCTCCCCCTCCACCATCAGTTTGGACTGTTCCAGTCTATCCTCACCTGGCACACCTGTGGACAGAGAGATGACAGTTAAGGTCCGCAGCAGGTCATCAGGGACAGGTGTGCACAGGATCAAGATGAGGATGGTGAGTCTTAATGTTCAAAAGGTCAGACACAAGAAATGGGGTGAACTTGAAGTATGTTAACAGCAAATGAATAGAGGAAGATACAGGCAGAATGACAAGGTCAAAAGGTCTGGTACAGGAAATGGGGTAAACTTAAAGGTCACCAAAACCGGGAACAAGGACACCATCCACAATGAGTAACTGATTGTTATCAAGAAGATGATACAATTAATTATGACTTCCTGGTATGGAAGTAAAATAATTGTTTTGGGTGGCTGAACTGTGGGTTTGTGCTTTTTGTTTGCCCAGACAGAGACGGTTAACAGTACGTGGGGGGGAGAAAGATTGACAGGCAGACAGACAGGAGGTCAAATGGTTAGACACAGGAAATGGTGTGAAGTTGAGATTAGGTTGACAGCACTGGCCATGGGGTGGGGAAGATTTCGTCAGGCAAAATGACGGGCAGTCAAAAGGTCAGACACAGGAAAGGGAGTGAACTTGAAGGTCGACATCACAAAAACCCAAAATACTCTCTAGAAGTCTGAAATCACTGATTTCTTGTTGTTAGGGTTTAATATACATGAATACTTGTGATGTAGAAGTAAAAAAAGTTGCTTCCTTAGCAAACCATATTCAGAAAATTTTGCCTCGCTATATACAATGTAGGTACGTACGTACGTAATGATTCTCATCCAGTGAAAATCGTCTTTTTTTTTGTTCCAGAGCGAGAAGTTTGACAAGATTTTCAGGTACATGTCAGAGAGAGAACATGCACATGTAGACAGAATACTGCTGGTCCTCAGAGACTACACCATACAGGCAACTGACACACCTCACAGCATTGGGCTACACATCGCCGATATCATAGGTTAGTGGGAACATTTCTTAACTTCTGGGTATGGAAGTATTGTTTGGGGTGGCTCAGTTGTGGGTTTGTGTGTCTGTCCAGAGAGAGAGTAGGTTGACAGCACGTGGGTGAGGGGCAGCTAGATTGACAGGCAGAATGACAAGAAGTCGAAAGGTCAGACATGGGAAATAGAGTAAACTTGAAGATCAGAGATTCTGGTTAGGAACCAGCAGGAATTAGAGGTTGACACATGGGGGAATTCAGGAAGCTGAGGATTAAGAGCGAATATTCAACCCTTCACAGTTTCTGTCCTAGCCACATCATACAATATCCTAAGGCACACCAAGTTAATTTCATAGTTAACGGATTTTTCTAGAAAAACAATGGAGCGGGTGGGCGAAAAAAATAAAAACAGGCCTAGGCATCCTATTATAGCCCAAAATGGTACCATAGGAGCCATGAAGTCAACACACCAGGCTGGTTCAAAATTTAAACAGGGAATTTTGAACTTTTAATGATACCACTGGATTGAAAGATGGAATAACTGTAACAACTAGGAATAAAAGGACTGTTTTCAACTGTTCAGGGCAAAATATGAGCATTGTGCAGTTGATTCTGAATTTTTTTTTTTGCAAATCAGAAAAAAATGAAGCGGGTGAATCCGTTAGGCAAGAAATTAAATTGGTGTCGCCTAAGTTGATGCAGTGAATTCACAATCTCATCATGTTGTAAATGTGCTTCCAGACTGTTCCATAAGTACTGCAAGCATGGCTGTAGAAGAAGAGGAGGAAACTTCAACAGAGGGGAAACTGGAACTGAAGATTCAAGGCAAGGAGAGGAAGACAGAGAAAACCTTCACTGTTCACAAGGTATACATGTATATGTTTGTAATCAAGCAGCATAATAAAATTGTCTTTCATTTTCAACTTTTTTTCAAGTGAAATAAAGGTGGCAAGATGGTCTTCTGGTTAGGGTTGTTGACCTGGAATCCTAGAATGGTTCTGGGTTCGAATACCTAGCACTAATAGCAGGCCTAAATGTTGTACATAAATATTTCCCCATTCAACGGAAAATGAGTATGGCTAAGGGATGTCCTCTCAGATAGGACATGAAGTCGGGGGCCTTATAGTTTGAAGAGAGACACACCTCGAGCACGTTTTGAAAACATACATACATACATATCCTGGCTTTGATTATACTGCTGCCGGCTTCCCTGTCTCAGGGGTGGGCAGCAGTCGGCTAGTCTTGACTCCATGTCCACACTTGGCCCTGTCCTGTGGTTCGATGTTGGGGTCAGGGTATTTTTTTATACATGGGTATATTAATTTTCTGATATTTGTGGCAAACATAAAGCTGTTTTCACGATTTATGGTACAAATGTATATAATTGTCCTTTCCAGTCAGAAGAGCTGAGTAGGGTGATGCAGGAGTATGCAGACTTCCGACAGCTTCCCCTCAACAGACTCCAGTTCAAATTTGACGGAGAAGTCGTCTCTGCAAGCGACACCCCTGAAGACTTGGACATGGAGGGTGGAGAGACCATCGACGCCAGGGCCTTACAGTAGTCAGAACTTTACAGATGTCACAAACTATCATGAAAGTTCATTTGTGTTGGTAGTTACATGTTTAAAGTTAAAACTTTTGGTCCAACACAAAAAAGTTCTCTCACCTAGAGCTTTTGACCAGTCACTCTGGTCTTCCTCAGTAGACTGACCCAGTGAGGCTTGTCACATGGCTTTTTTAAAGTGTGACGTCAACACTGGGTCAAAGGTATCTGGTAGATGATGTTGGACTATTTCCTGAGAGGGGTGAAGGAGGCTATTTACATCAGGGCCCATCACCCTTCACTTAACCATGACGGGGGCCGACATCGTCTACCAGATACCTTTGACCCAGTGACGTCACACTTCAAAGAAGTCACGTGACAAGCCTCACTGGGTCAGTCTACTGAGGAAGACCAGAGTGACTGGTCGAAAGCTCTAGGTGAGACTGAGAGAATGTTTTGTGTTGGACCAAATGTTTTAACTTTAAACACAGATGTCACAAACGTTATGGCCTGGTACCAGCCTTTTTAGCTTTTGGGCACTTTCTTAGGGAAGTGACTGAGAGAGTGAATTAAAAAGAAGGAAAAAGCTAAAAAGGCTGGCATCCAGGCTAACAAAGTTATATAACTCACAGACAGGGAATTACCTCTAGAGCAACCATACACTCATCTTTTACATGTAGCAGCAGCTCCACCTATCTTCCTCACCAGGCACTGCAGTATGTGGCCTGTTGTCTAACAAAGTACTACTGTAGTAACAGAGAAGACCTCCATGTATTTTTCCTTGTACATTATGATGAAGACTGCTTGCAGAGCTGCTAGAACTTCTAAAAATGTATCCAATGTATGAAGATCTAATAATGAAGATTTAAAAATACGGGAAAAAGTAGAAGAGATGGTAAGCTGTAAATGATGTAGGAGATAGGGTAAGGAATATTGTCATGTTTGCTTTGTGTTTTTGTTTTTATTAAGTCTATTAAAGTCTGATAAAATGTATTACAAATCTTAAACTATTATTTCTCTACTCTTGCAGGGTAAAGGGGTTTAGCCCATGGGTATTTAGGGATGGGAGAGGTATTTTTAACCTTTAGAAAACTGAAGTAGCCATTTAGCTCTATGGTTAACAGGTTAGGCAGCAAGGAGGTTAAAATACCTTTAAGAAATTTCTATATTTGAAACTAAAACCTACTTTCTCACAAAAAAATTAAAAACAAGAACTTTGCTTTTCTATTAATTTTATCTTCCAATTAGCTTGTTAGGAATATCCATAAATAAACTTGTTAAATTAATAATTAATAACTAATTGGTATACATTTGCAATGATCATACCAGAACTGAACCATTTCATGTAAGGCCACACCAAGTAAATTTTATGGATGACGTCCTTTGGAGACCCTAAATCTAATGCGAGAGGGCGAAAAAAAAACAAGAAGGGCCCTAAAAAAACAAGAGGCCTAGATCAGAAATATACTAAGAGACGACAAATGTTAGGACACAAATTGAATGAGGTGACACAGTGTAACAAGCAAGAAGTCTTTTATTCATCATCAAAATAGCAATAAATCAGGTGGAACAGTGGACAGTGAAGAATTTTTTGTTATTGACAGGATGGTCCTGTCAATAGACACTTTCTTCGCGTTACGGGTTTCACGTCAATCAGACGATTTGCGACACTGTTGTGACTCTTTGGTCATAGTTACAGGAAGCGAAATTTCTTGTGTTTTTTTCTAGGAAGAGGCCAAAATCAATGCGCGCGCGGACGTCATCTATAAAATTTACTTGGTTTGGCCTAATACTGCAAAAGAGGGTATTTGGGGTTAAGTGCTTACATTGTTATACATGTATGTAGTGTGGTGTAAAGAATATTAATATGTGTTATGTAAATCTCTTGTCATTATATAGGAACTGCTGGTTAAATGAGTTCTAACTTTGCTAAGATTTTGTGCAGAAAAGTTACTCCATTAAAAGTTGAAAGAAAATGAGTGCATTATTTTTTGCTGTTATGGCCTGCGTTTGAATATTTTGAGTTATGTACTATGTTGACATGATATCAGCTGTTTACCAACAGGTATACATATGGAGGTTTTGAAAAATCTGAATCAACTCAAAAATTCTCACATTTTGCCCAGCTGTGTGGCGCTTTTAGATCACACTGATAATGTTCTAGTAAAATTTCTGTAATACTAACAGATTTATTCATATTCAAGTTGGTGGTTGAAATGCGTGTTAAATATTCACAAGGCCACACCTATTTGATTTGTTGGTTCTTAGATTTTTTTCTGAAAAAATATAATAAAAAAAAGTGACAGGGCATAAAGAAATGAAAACAGACCTAGGCATCCTATGATAGCCCGAAATGTTATGTAATTGAAACCATAAATTTCAAACTAATAATCAAGCCACTTCATTCAATGGAAAAACTGTAATTAACTTTGAAGTGAAGGGACTTCCTTCAACGGTTTGGGCCAAAATATGAGCATTTTGGAGTTGATTCCGAGTCTGAATTTTTTTTATTTTGCATATCAGAAAAAAATGAAGCTGGCAAATCCATGAACCAACAAATTAAATTGGCGTGGCCTAAGCTTGATGATGTAAAATTGTAGGAAAGGAAGGCTAGGTTTCTGTGGCTTTGGGCAGGTAATATAAGTTAACTCTTCTTAGTATCTGTCTACTCCATCCTATTCTAGCTCTGGTTCTTTCACAGTTTTGGCATACACTATTTTCAAAGTCTGTAAAATGGGTCATTTTTTATTGTTTTTAGACCAAAAATGTTTATTCTTGGCTCCTGTGCCCTGGTATTAACATTGTACTTTACAATAATATATCTTGGGTCTTTTGGGGCTATTTCAATTTAATTTTAGACTCAAAATATATTTTTACTTCTACACCCTCTATAAGCAAATGACTCAAAATTTGGCAAGGAGGTGCCTTGGACCCTATTCAAATTTTGTCATACTCGACTTAATGATTATTTATTTTGTGAAAGGGTAACTTGGCCTAACGTTTCTGTGAATGCATGAAGTTCGTCATGCAGTAAAAGAACCAAGACGCAGTACTACTAGATTGTAGGTAAGGCCTTAAGTCTCTTGAAGTTGTCATAATCAATATTTTTGACATTGACGCTAATCACTAGTAACAACTTGAGAATTAAGGAACTGTACAGGCAGGTATTGTGCTGTTCATCACAATCAGTGTTTTCCTTTATTGACTGGAACCAAGCTTCACAATGGACATCCTAATATATAGCCATGCAAGATATATGCACATGCTGTCTTAAGCTGTCTGAAGAATTATAAAAAAGATCATTCTTTTAAAGATCTCTCTTAACCTCTTGAAACCATGTCTGCTGTTATCCATGTTAATCACAATCAGTGTTTTTTTTTCTTCAACTGTAGAACCAAGCTTCACAATTGGCAGAAAATACAGTCAATTAGAATATGTATATCATTGGTTTATTTCAAACACAAACACAAATCACAATACAGCTCCATCACTAGGCAGCCACAAGGCTGAATTGCGTGAATAAAAGCTTTAGACAGTGAAATAAAATCCTGATCATCATTCCGAGTTGTAAAAACAGCCATTAAATCATATTAAAATCATACATTTACACAGACTATTCATGATTTAAAATGTGCACATGCTGTCTCAAAATTTGTGAAAAGAACTGTTACAAATTCTTCTAATCAAAAATATCTGTCTAAACCATGACTTCTGAAAATTATAAACATAAACATACAATGTATAACTTGTATATCGTTTCTTCAGCTGATATTCCTAGAGTTGGAACCATCCTCATGCATACATACAAAATGTTCATTCAATTTCATTTGACTCAGTTCTGGACCAGCAAAATGTGTTGCACAATCTGCCATCATACAAAAATTGTTGGAGCAATATGTGATACAATTATGTTGCTTATTTAAAAAGAACCTGTCTTCTAAACACTTCTTTAATTGAACATGTTCTAGATTTTAAGTTGAATTTTAAGTTACTTATTAAGATGCAAGCTTCAGTACTCAGTACTTACCAACAATAAATGCATCATATTACAATAAAATTGTAGGAGCAATAAATGGTACAATCATGTAACTTATTAAGAAAAATCTTTCTACTACACATTGTTTTAATATACAAATATCAAGTTACTTACTACATACAACTTTCAATACGTGCAGTACTTACCATTGACCAGTAAAGGCATTAGATTATTCATTTCCTACAATTATCCATCTAACCCTCTCCCTGCTGCCTAACCCCATAAACAACAAAGTTGGTGCCAAAAGGCTACCATATTAGGCTGAAGGGTGGGGTGAGACTCGCCTTTACAGGCTCAACCACTAGCATGGCATACAATAAATGCAAATTGAAATTAAAGACTTATTGCCCATCTATCATAAAAAGTAAAGTTTACATGTATCAACTTGTGAGCCTGCATGGAAGCTGGCCCTGTGGTATTTAGTGATTTCTGACATTCAAGGATTCAGTGTTGGTCTGAGACTGGCCCTGCAGTCTGATTTTGACCACTGGTTATTTCTGTAGTGTTTGGGTCCTCTGACTTTCATACATAAGATTTGTCTGTAGGGCAGCTAGCAATGGTTCATGCGATAAATTTTTAATATCCAAGGATTGAGTTGTGGCATGATACTGACCCTGCTCTGTCTGATCGTGACCACTGGTTATTTCTGTAGGTTTTGGCTCCTTTTCTGTTGTTTTCACACCTACATACATATGATTTGTCTGTAAGGCAGCTAGTAGTGCATCATGTGATAAATCTTTAAAATCCAAAGATTGAGTTGTGGCCTGAGACTGGCCCTGCTCTGTCTGATCGTGACCACTGGTTATTTCTGTAGTGTTTGGGTCCTCTGGTGGTGTTTTCACACCTACATACATAGGATTTGTCTGTAAGGCAGCTAGTAGTGCATCATGTGATAAATCTTTAAAATCCAAAGATTGAGTTGTGGCCTGATACTGACCCTGCTCTGTCTGATCGTGACCACTGGTTATTTCTGTAGGTTTTGGCTCCTCTTGTGATGTTTTCACACCTACATAGTTTGGTTGTCGCCCTCTATTATATAATGGGCTTCTAGTGTGCAAGGACCCAGTGGTATATAGTGGACCAGTAGACTTGCCACAATTCTCTGTGGAATGGCTGTCAACATTTAATGGACTTTTATTGTCCAAGGAATCACTGGCTATATTTGAGACAGTTTGCCTCGCATTATATAATGGACTTTTGCTGTCCCAGGAGTCAGCATTCTTGTTTAGGGCATTTGGCTTTGTCTGCTTGTGCTGTTTCATATTTTCATACTGGTGATCGTGACCACTAGTTACAACAGCTTCTGTTTTTATGTTGGATTCAGTGATGGCCCGAGACTGGCCCTGCCTTGTCTGATTATGCTTGTCTACATCTTCATACTCATGATCAAGACCACTAGTTACTACAACAGCTGTGGTGTTGGATTCAGTGATGGCTTGACACTGGCCCTGCCCTGTCTGATTATGTCTGTCTACATCTTCATACTGGTGATCAGAATCACGTCTAGTTATTACAGGTGGTATTTTTCTGTTGGATTCAGTGATGGCCCGAGACCGACCCTGCCTTGTCTGATTATGTTGGTCTACATCTTCATACTCGTGATCAAGACCACTAGTTACTACAACAGCTGTGGTGTTTGTGTTGTGCAAAGCAGGGTTGGAGTTCAAACCTGAATCAGGATCCCTCCCCCTTCTTTTGCACCAGATTGTCAAAATGACAACAATAGCGAGACATATCACTGAACCAACAACAGCCAAAATGACAACCGGTACTAGGGGGAAACTGAGACCAGATTCATGGAAAGTACCAGTGACTGCAAGAGTTGAAGTTGTTGACCTTTTCCATTCAGTCGTGATTGTGCCATTGAAACAATTATTTGCGCTTTGCAATTGGTGACCAGCCAGCTGCGTGAAAAACTTGGAGCTTATAGGATATTCTGTTGGGGTTACATCGATTTCTGTATTGCCAAATGAAGATGTTGACACTATTACAGCAGATGAGCTCTGGGCCTCAACACTTGGTGTTGATTCAGTTGGGTCATTACAGACCAGATCTTCAGGACTGACATCTCTAAGTTTTTGTCCTGAGAGGTTGGCAGGTTGGGCACATGTTATCTGTTTTAGAACTGCAGAAGTTTCAACCATTGTTTGCCTAAAGGGAGTCATCTTACAGTCACACTGCCAGGGATTGTTGTCAATATATAATTCGGGAATGGATGCCAACGTGTCATTGGCTAATAGGGGAAGGACAGTTAGCTGGTTTGACTGCAGGTACAAATGTTTGAGGGAAGGTAGATTTGAGAATGTGCCAACCTGAATGCTGTGTATGTTGTTGGAGTTCAGGTACAATCTTTTAAGAATGGGTAGATTTGAGAATGTGCCAGCCTGAATGCTGGTTATGTTATTGGAGTTCAGGTTCAACTGTTGGAGCCCAGATAGATTTGAGAGTGCACCAACCTGAATGCTATTTATGTTGTTGCACCTCAGGTTCAACCAATAGAGCTTGGGTAGATTTGAGAATGTGCCAATCTGAATTCTGGTTATGCTATTGGAGTACAGGTGCAATTGTTGAAGCTTGGGTAGATTTGAGAACACAGTGTCACCAACTCGAATGTTTGATATTTGGTTGAAGCCAATGTTCAATCTATGTATATTTGAGAATGTGCCAACCTGATTGCTGGATATTTGGTTGTAGTCAATCATCAACCAGATCTGGGGTAGATTTGAGAATGTGCCAGCCTGAATGCTGGATATCTGGTTGTGGTCAAGGTACAAAAAATGGAGTTGTGGTAGATTTGAGAACGTGCCAGCCTGAATGCTTGTTATCATGTTGGAGCTAAGGCACAAATATTTGAGCTTAGGTAGATTAGAGAATGTGCCAACCTTAATAATGGATAGTTGGTTGGATGTAAGTGACAAGCGCTGGAGCTTGGGTAGATTTGAGATTGCCCCTACATCAATGCTGGATATTTGGTTGGAGTTGATAATCAACTTGAAGAGCCGGGTTAAATTTGAGAATGTACCAAACTTAAGGCTGGTTATGTTGTTCGATCCTAAATACATTGATGAGAGCGAGGGTAGATTTGAGAGTACACCAGGTTGAATACTAGCTATCTCATTATTGTTTAAATTTAACGAGTATGTGAATGATGGAAGGTTATGAGGGATGTTAGTAAGGCCCAGGTTGGGACAATTACAGTATATATTGTTGTATATATGTTCTGATTTCACACAGCTGCAGTCAGCTTCTGGCATGTTGGGCTCCTTCAGGATGATGAGAAGAAAAATCAGCAAGTGTCGCAGCTTCCTTCCCATGTCGCCCTGTAGTCTACACAGAACAAGTAGCAGGAATCAATCAGTGATGGCAGACTTCACACCCTTTGCCCATCCTTCTTTGCAAGTAGATAAACTGAACTGTTCAGAAACATACAGACACACAGAAAGACGTGCTCACTACAGACATACCCAATACAGGTACAGTACTTCACTCCTAAGGCCACACCAATTTAATTTGTTGTTTCTCTGATTTTTTCAGAAAAAAATATGAAGCAACAGGGCGAAAAAAAACAACAGACCAAGGCATTCCATTATAGTGAAAATGTTACAATATGAGCCATAAAGTGAACATATCAGGCTGGTTTATAATGAAAACAGTAGATTTTAACTTTAATGGAAGAAAATTGGCATTGTTACATTGATAAACTTTGACAACTAGGAAGAAAAGGACTTTCTTCAACCGTTGGGACCAAAATATGTCTTTCATTGAGCATTTTGCAGTTGATTTAGAACCTGCAAATCAGAAAAAAAGAGACAGGGCGAATATTAATCCGAGAAACAACCAATCAAATTGGTGTGGCCTAATGTGAACCATGGTAAAAGACAATGGACTAGAGCTGGCAGGCTTCATTTCGTTCAATATCCTTTAATATTCACTCAATATGATGATGAATATGTACGCAGTGCTACTAGTTTTGTGTGTGAAAGCTCTAAACTAACATTCATTGTGTCTTTTGTATACATACTGTATACATTGTATGTTTTAGTTAAATGTTTCATTTCATTTATTATGCAAGGTGAATTGGCCACCAACTGTTCCTCCCCACAAAACCCCAGATGGTAGAAGTGGAAGGATAAGGAGAAAGACGAAATGACAACTTGAAGGTTAATTTTTTCATGTGAATGAATTAAATCTGATGAATATACATGTACTTGGTAGTATGTATTTTGTCGATGCAGAAACACCACACACAGACAAACACAAACACAAATCAGAAAGAACAGAAAAGCCAAATAGACATCACTCCTTCTGGGTGAATTAATTCTATAATCTTTTAACCCGACAAAATTATTTTTGTTATAATACTAGCTCCTCCCCTGAGAAGGATATGGAAATATGGGGGCCCGCATGTCCTTTTCCGTAGAGCATAATCAGCCGTTTTAATTCTACATAGATCATAGAGCGTAGATGGACCACTCTACTTCAACGTAGAGCGTAATTGGCGCATTTGCGTAGAGCGTATTCACCGTTTTGATTCTACTTAACGTGTTGTAGCCACTTGGAATTTAACGTAAAGCGTAATCGAGAGTTTTCTGAATTCAGAGTAATACGTAGCCAGCTCTCAAAATTTTGCATAGAGCGTTGTCGGGACTCCCCCCATGCAGGCCCCAAATATCAACAGTTTTTAATCAGTCTGAGCCTGGATATCTGCATATCACGGTGGTAAAATCTGGGCTGTAAAGTTCCCACATTTCATAGAATCCGAACAGTGTTCGATCGTGTTCGATCTGGGCGATTCGAATCGAACCCGCGTTCCATTTCGGGGTCACATGCGGTCATTTACAATAAAGCGGCAAAACAAGCCCTTCTGCCTGAGTGACTCGCAACAGATAAAAAACAACACTTTTCTATAGATTCAAACAGTTTCCAGGACACTACATGTCCGCTATCATTTTTTTGTGGACATGTAACATGTAGCAAAGCTACTGTCGTATCCTTGGGTGACCTTGAATGCTGTAATGATTCTTTACGCCTCTATGAATAACACGGTGCACACTTTTGGGAGATATGACATGTCTGCAAAACTCGTTCAAACCTGGAAGCGTGGAGAGTCAAACATACCCCAATTACGGCTCAAAATGACTGTCACGGTTGTCCCGAAAATCGTGCTTTTGGGATTTTTGAAACATGCGTTTCATTTTGAATTATGGGTAATTGAGTCCTAAAAAGCCCAAAAATTCGATTTTTCACCTATTTGTCGACAAAAAATATACTTATAGTCAGAAATTAAAAAATCCCAAAAGCACGATTTTTCGTCTTATTCCTAGTCGTCGAAAAATATAAAAATCAGTGATCTTGCGTAATATGTGTAGCCAGGTTTGCTCGGTGATTGGCTAAAATATGACGCTGCGAAATCCCGAAAAATTTATCGACTTTTTTTTAATGAAATACGAAAAAATCATCCATTTAGCGCAAAAAAATCACAATTGAATGTATGTCAAGACGATAATTTTATTTTATATCAACGATATTTTCCCTTCGACACTAGTTTGTTTATTTTCAAATGTTTTGCGATTAGCCCAAAATAGCGTCTTGTAACCTGATACTTTATCGAACGCCCCCAGCAATGGGAATGAATGGCCTAGTGACAGACCGCCGTGTATTAATATTTGGGTACAGACTTACAGGGTACTGGAATGTTCTTCACAGATTCATGCCAGCTTTTCCTAGCATTTCTAAAATTCAAACTATATATGTATGTATGGTTTAACCTCCAGATTATTTTAGTGAACATGCATACGAAACAACGTTAACTGCATGTTTAAAAAGCCATCATCCACCTTACATTTAATCTTAATATACATGCATGTACAGTTGGTTGATTGTCTGATTTATGCTGTTTGAATATTAATGTTTAGCAGGTTGTTTACTTTGAGATCTGGTGTATTTTGCTGACGTCTCAGTTGTTAAGACAAATTTTACATTTTAAGGCTTGGGAATAAGCAGAAAAAGCAAATATTTGGCCGTTTTATGTGAATGCATTGAGTACTTCCGTGTTGTGCCTAGTTTAATCGTATGGACACAATTTTGAAATTCATTAGAAAAACAACCGTGCCAAAGCATTAAATTTTGTTCTTTCTTGGGGAAAAAACGAATGAATTTTCTCATATTAGATGATGTAAAAACCTTTTGCTACATCTAAACCTGTGAAAACAGAAATCTTGCATGATAACCAATGTCTGTTTTAGTCATCTATCTTCTATTCCAGCCTCTTTAAATTTTCTCATGTATGTACAGAAAATACTAGACCTTACCTGAAGGTTCAGCCACGACTTACCTTTCAAGCCAGTCAGAAAACCTTTAATTATTTTATGGTCATGATGATCTTTCCGCAGTTTTCTTTCTGCTGTTGTGCCTCTCCGATGTGAGCTAGATGCGTAGCTCGTCCAAAATGGAGTCTGACAAACAAGCTTTGAAAAATCTTACGCAATCTGGGTGTGTGTTGATTGTCTGAAGCTAGCTGGTTGAATATTAACATTAATGATAAATAATAATGATTTGTTCCTTGAAGTCGCCTTATAATATGTCTTACATGATGCATGAAACCTTCTTGGGTGCAATAATCTTGTCAGCTGCTATGTGGCGCTTTTACATCACACTGATAATGTTGTAGTAAAATTTCTGTAATCCTAACAGAGTTACTCGTCTTCAAGTTGGTGGTTGAAATGCATGTTAACTTTTCATAAGGCCAGACTTATTTGATTTATTGCTTCTTGGATTTTTTCAGGACCCACAGGACCTTATCCACACTGTTGCCATACACTACTTTATCATTTAATGATATTTGTTTTGCGATGGGGTGACTTGGCCTACACTGAGTTCTTCCATATTGTAGTTGAAGAGCCAAGAATTAGTAGATAACCAACTAGGTAAGGCCTTAATTATTAAGTCTCTTGAAGTTCTCATAATCAGTATGAAATAAATCAGGCTCGGAAGAAAACTAGCGGCACTGTTAACAAACGGAAACCTTCTCCGAGCCCTGAATCAAACGTAAATTCCCTTACCGCTATGGACACATGTCCGCTGCGCAATTTAAAAGCAAGCCTTTCCTCCAAATTCGGGAACGCTGCGGGAAAATGACGGGTCCATTTATTCAGTATATGTACTGGAGATTACTAGCTCCACAACATAAAATTATATTCATTCAACCGTCGCCTTAGCAATAATTTTTTATTGCTAGTCTTGTTCGCCCTGTCGCTTCATATTTTTTCTGGGAACATTTGAGAACAAACTTAATTGGTGTGACCTAACCAACTTAAGAAACAAAGATCAGACATACCTGTTTGCATCAGTATTTTTATTTGCATGAAATGCAAACAATACAGCAGAAAAGAGGGTATGGTGACTCCGAGAGGCAGGGGCAAGTTCTCGGTACATGAGGTATCTGTACTTGTATGTGTACCTGTCAATTATTATAGATTTAAACTAAGGCAACAGCAGCTCCAAACTGAGCTTTGCAATACACAACTAGTCACTACCATCCCAACCAATTGTGCTTTCTAACATTTAGTGCTAACCAAGATATTATTCTTGTCAAAATCTGTAACGTTACTCCAAAATATGGTCACCCTTACATTTTCTAGGTCTTTCACCTATGATGAGAGTCTGCTACCTTGTGTTTTTTTTTCGGTCCAAAGCATTTCTTCTATGTAATATTACTACATCTTAAAGCTGTATGTTTGTACATGTTTCCACACACATTTACATACATGGCATACGGGTAGTTCTGTATTTCACTGTAGAGTAAGCTGCTTGGAGTTGAAAATACAAATTTTGTGACGTCAAATGTTTAAATCTAAGGATTCCTTGACAAGTAGTGAGTATGTAATACTTCTTTGTCTTATGTGGTTGACGCAAAACATTTGTCTAGTAGTACATGTACCAGTAAATTGTACTGGCCTCTCATTTTGTGGATTTTTTCAAGGCTTTTGAGCCCATTACAGTAATACATGTTATCGGTAACACATTCTGGGCCCTCACTCTGCACCACACTCAAACATTGCAAAAGCAAGACACAACAAAATAAGCCGGTTCACAATTTGAACTGAGTATGTGTCAGGTCCAAGGGAAAGGCCCCTATTAAACCTACTTACAAACAGTTCTTGTCTAGATCATGCTTCATATATATCCAGACATGTTTTGTATACGTCTCGGGGGTCTTCAACTTTGTTGTTACCCACAATGCATCATGCTGCACATGCACAGTTTAAACTGTGAACCAGTTTATTGGCGGAAACAAAAATTGCACACCCTGCCATTTTCCATCTCTTGTAGTATCTGTTTTATCAATCCATAATTCAAGATAATCTCAACGATATTTTTGCCATCATCTTAGGTTTTGTCCAAGGTTTTTGGTTCCAAGGTCAGTGGTAAAGCAAAAGGACAACAACGTTATTCCTTGGCAGTGTTCTTGCCAGCCTGAATTTTTTTTCCATCATCTCAATTTTGTTTGAAGTCATTTTGAAAACTTCAAAATCTTGTCCCTCTGAAACGCTGCACATGTATTTCCTGCATTTTGAGGGGAAAATTTTAGTTCAATGACATCTCTTTCCGTATCTTTACATGCCAATTTTTGTCCATCCAAGATGACACCAAGATGACAGACAGGGCAAAACTTTTGTACATCATAAGTGGCAAAATTTCAACAAGACAGACACTGGCTAGAACACTGGACCTTGGCATTCAAATCATTTTACTACATAACAAACAGATGGTAACATGGCACGGTATGCAGCTTTCGTGTCCAAATTCCAATTGAGAATATGATATATAAAAGTCTATCTAGGTGCACACATTGATCTGACACTACAGTAGCCGGCCCGCGGTGGTTAGGAGCCCTTCTTGAGTGAGGACATGCCAGCTCTCATGATCTCATCCACCAGTAGCAGGTTGGAGGCTATCACCGTGCTAAAAACAAGGGAATAAAATAAAGGATGTTACTGTGAATTCATTTATTTTTGGATTTTATTTTGCAAACATTTTAACATTTACAGTAGCAAGGTCATTCAGATTTCCGACATCATTATTTGTTTCATTTGTTGTAAATTCCCTTTGCCACACTGGTATAAATTATGTTAAGTTATAATTTATGTTATATCTGATTCTCTGTACCTTTTTATTTGTTTTGATTTTGTATTTTGTCGGTGCCTTATAAGCCCATATATGGGCTGGGCGACATATTGATCGCAATGGCATGAAAATAAACAGTCATTCATTCATTCATTCATTCTGTATCTACGCAAGACTTTTGTTTCATACTTTCTCCTCTATTTAGAACAGGTAGACATTGACTCACACAAAGTTCCTAACAAAGATTCACTCAACTTCTGTGGTTGACATCCTAAAGGATGTCTTCACTGGCAATTCATTTTGACAAGGAAGTATGGTACCAGTAATTCAAACAAAAAGTGACTAAAGTTTTATGTGAGTGCAAAAGAGCCATGCGCATGTTCCTAAGACTAGTACTTTATAGACCTATCCCAAAGCCACAGAAACACCGCCACTCTATGATTGGTCTCACCAATAAATTGCAATGCTAACATTGGTTGAACAGTTTTTGCTGAATAGTGATAGACAGTCAGAATCAGTCTATTGACTGCATGTTTGACCAGGACTCACCAGGAGTTGATAATCTGCTTCTTCACACAGTGGTTGTCCCAGATCCCAGCGTCACCTGCATTTATCGCCTCACCTGATCAAGAAATAAAAGATCAGGAGGTTCATGGTACATTTTTACAAAGCAGGGATCTCACTTAACACAAGATGTAAGACTGCAGACTTAAACATTTAAACATTACAGGCAGAGCTCTGCCAGTTCAGAAGTGTCACAACATATCCACATGGAGTCACCCGGACACTTTGTTTCACTTGACACTTGGATACAAGGATTTTGGACACTGAACAAGACTATTTCCTGAGAGGGGTGAAGGAGGCTATTTACATCAGGGCCCATCACCTTTCACTGAACCACGATGGGGGCCGACATCGTCTACCAGATACCTTTGGCTCAGTGTTGATGTCACATTTCAAAGAAGCCACGTGACAAGCCTCACTGGGGAAGACCAGAGTGACTGGTCGAAAGCTCTAGGTGAGAGACCTTTTTTGTGTTGGACCAAAAGTTTTAACTTTAAACACACTACTGACCTGTTGAGATGTCGAAGCCCACCGGCATGCCTGCCTCTGCGTACTCCTGCTGTAGTTTCACCATGGTGTCCTGGGGGTCCTGGCCGGAGTTCTGGGCTAGGACCTGGACAACAACAACCAATACATCAGGCCACACCAACTTGATTTTCATCTATATGACAATAAAGTTCTTGGAAATTCTTGCCCAGAGACTAATTACAAGTGGCATAAAACTGACCCAGTGACAATAAATATTACTGTAATTCCTGACTTTTTCACTGTTATGTTCACTGTTTTCACTGTCACCTCTGTACTGTGAACGTATCATTACAGTTAACAGTTAATTCCTGGACTTTCTTTTTCCTGCACCTGTCGCCACCGTGAACATATAGTTCCATGAACACATCCATTTTCCTCAGACCGTGAACTTTTGCTACCGTGAACATAAATTACTGAATTACACTATTAAATGTATTGCATGTGACCACCAGTGCAAATGCTGACCCTAACTTGTTGGGTTTGACATATTTAGAGTCAAAGTATCCCATTTTTCTCTGTGATAAATGTATGATGTGTAGTTAGTTTCTGTGATGTTAAGAGGAGAGAAGTTTTCTTTTTGTCTGTAAACATGGAGAAATTAAGATGGAATTTGGTGATTTCATAAAGTTGGAAAGGAAAATGTTTGTTTCACACAACCGGTAAACCGCCTTTAGGCGTAACACACCAGTTTTGTACATGTACATACATGTACAAGCTGCGTAAGACCGAACTGTCAGGTTTGAACCACTCACACCGGGAAGGTCCCCTATTCTTTTCAATAAGTGCAGTGGGTTCTTTAACATGCGTGGGGTGTGGCTCTCCTCAAACACGGGACCTCCATTTAACGTCCTATCCGAGGGACGTTAAATCCAGCATCAGAGTAGAGTCTACCCATATAGACAAACCTACCTTAGGAATGACAAGCAGGGCATCAGCGAAAGCCTGGACCCCGAGCCTGGCGCGACCCTTCACGGTCTTGGCATATTCCGACAGTGCAGAATGGCAGGCAACTTCAAACGCTCCAGCTCCTGGTACCACACAACCTGCAATAGAAAAATAAACATCATCCCTGTTACTGCATTCAACTCAACCAAAATCTAAAAAAACATGTTTTTTTTCTATCACATGAGGTTGAAGTTCACAAGTATAAGCTGACTTAAGTTTGAGTTTCAACATACTCTTTTTACAATTTCATCACAAGATATCAGACATTTCGTTCAGACCTTCGAAAAGTATTTGGGGTTTTGTCTAACCTTTTGTCATCCTGTTCATTGTCTGTCAATCTTCCCACCCACATGCTGTAAACATACTATCAAGTTTAACCCCATTTCTGGTGTCTGACCACCTCTCATTCTGTCAATCTTCCCCACCCACATGCTGTCAACCTATGCTCCAGTTCATCCCATTTCCTGCATTTATACTTCTTACCCTATCATTCTGCCTGTCAAACTTCCCCACCCACGTGCTATCAAACAACTGTCTTGACACACACACAAATCCACTGACAAGTCCACACCAAACACGAGTTTACCCAATATTCTCTACAATTTCAGCACAATAATTCATAGTGCTGTGTACCTACATGTAAACCCACATTTAGGTTCAAGTCCAGAGGTTTAGGTTCAGTTCCTGACTCGTAAGTCCGGACCTAACCCATGGCATATATATACAAAATTGCATGTTGGCAACCTTGCAATGTTGTTTGGGCAAAACTTAGACCACATAACATGGCCGACACTTGATGATGCCCGATGGCATTGTTTTCTTCATTTTGCAGCACAGTTTTTGCAATCTATGGAAGGTTTTAGGTGGTTTGGAAAGAAAAGGGGTATGTGATATGTTTTTTTTTAATAAGTCCAGAATCGGTTCTTCACTTTTAGTTTTTTCTGGACTTGAACCTAAACATTTTTACAGTCCAGTGAACCGGTACACAGCACTGATTATTAGCGTACCGTCCTCGATGGCGTTCTTGACGGCCCTGAGTCCGTCGTGGATGGCGTCCTTGATCTGGTTGAGGGTGTGTTTGTTGGGTCCCTTCACCAGCAGGGTCACTGACCTCGGGTTCGCACACTCCTCCACAAACGTGAACTTAGCCTCACCCTGGAAATAAACACAAATTCTCTTATTTTTGGCAGTGACTTAAAGGCATGCAATGCGATTTCAGAGAAGCATAACTGGAAATATTCTGAATAAGGCAATCCTAACAATATTGACACATACTGCTTCACATTAGCACATTTCAATCAGCATTTAATACTTAGGGTATTTAAAACTGCAGAAACAAGTCCGAAGATGAGTCCTTTATTTTATGGGTGGTACCCTAAAAATCAGCCAAGGGCCCTTCCAGTAACCATTTTCTGTCAGAATTTTGGGAATTTTAGTTCCCTGAGGGTCCATATACATTGGGATAGCATTGTTTCAAGTATGTAGATAAGTGTCTAGAATATTGACTTTGAAACATTGGGTTTCCAAGCCCTAAGAATTGCATTGAATGCCTTTAATCTCATTGTAGAAATAGAACGATATTTTCACAGTGCTTTAAGTTTGCAGCATTCTGTAATACAGTAGTGATACAAAAGAAATACTTATTTACAGTGGCATGAATAACACCACTGTGAAAACAAAACACTGCAAACAGTTCAAGATTTACAGTATGCTTACTGAAGTTCATACATTGCATAACCAGTAAACCAATCCCAGCTGTCTATCAAAATAACCATTTTCAACCAATAAGACAGCTGCTATGTGTCAATCTAATTACTGTGAGATTTAATCCCTTCTAAACATTTCCTGAGAGGGATTCTACAACGTCGCGACCGTTGAACTCTGAACCCTTACCAGCACGTGTTCGTAGACGAGCCCGGCCTCTCCGAGACAGTCCGCGGTCAGGTCGTTGACGTCGTTCATGGCCATACCTCCGCAGGCGAGCGACAGGCGCTCCATGTTCCTCCGCTTGGCTCTCCTCAGCGCCATGATGCCTTCCTTAGCCAGCATGTCCAGGGAGAAGGGGTCGATGCCCTGCAGGTCAAAAAAGTCAGCTTCATTTAGTATCAATCTTCTGTTCTTTTAAGAGAATAACCTAAAACTACTCAAACACATTTATGAATATGGTCAAACAGAAAATTGCAACATGATGTAATCCAACACTAGTTACCATGGTGACAGACATCTGGTTCAGGTCACTGGCCTTTTGTGTTTGGAAATGAGGAAACAGAGCAAAAACAATATGTTTTCCTTTGGTAAACATAACTGCTCTGTATTACATTTTACCAATCCTTAATACCTTTGAATAAGAAATTAGAGATTTCATACTTCTGGAAAGTATGCAATCTTCGGCTTCCTGAATTCCCCCATGTCCACCTCTAATTCCTGGTGGCTCCTGACCAGATTCTGGGACCATCATGTCGACCCCATTTCCTGTGGCTGACCTTCTGATCTGTCATTCTGACTGTCAATCTTCCTCACCCATGTGATGTCAATTACCCTCAAGTTCACCCCATTTCCTATGTTTGATCTTTGGACCTCCCATCATTCTGCCTGTCCATCTGTCACCCACCTTTGTGCTATCAACCTACTCTGTCCGGACAAATGGACACACATCTTCATGTATTCAGCCATGTGTGACAGGCTTAACAGAAACATAAGCATGACTACCTTCTGGTTGATGAGCACGAAGCCCTTGTTGTTTCCCTCACAGACTTTCTTCTTCAGGTCAATGACCTTCTGCACTCTCTCCAGGACGTACTTCCGCTCTGCCAGAACCAGCTTCTCGCGCTCAGCCGCGCTCTTGTAGAAGAACCCGGAATTCACTTCGCTAATGGAAATAAAAGTTCATTGAATATTAAGCATTTATCAAATCAGTTTTCAACACAATTTATACTACTTATTAGATATATTTGAATTATGCTTAACTTTCCATATTGATTGCCTATTCTGTGTATTTTTATATTTGTTGTCATTGACTATGTAAATGTTGATGTTGTATATGTGTTTTTGTATGGGGGAAGGCAACTTGTAAAGGTAAGTATGTACCTGTTTTGTCCTCCCTTTCACTTTGTGAAAATCAAAATTAACAAATAAACAAATGGCACATTCTTTTAACAGACTTAAAGAAACTGAGCAATTATTTTTAATAAAAAATCAGAGATTTCAGACTTCTGGGAGCCTTTTGACCTTCTAGCTCTAGTTCACCCAATTTCCTGTGTCTGACCTTCTGACCTATTGTCATTCTGCATGACAATAATTGGTGCATGTTAGCAAATACATGTATGCAAAAATCAACAGGATTAAGATGTTCCCAATTCTCCTAACTTAGAGGGGTTGGCCATCAAAAGGCCCCGAAATCAACTTTTCTTCCTATTGTCCCAGCACTCTCCCAAAAATAAATTTAAATTGTCCCAAGTGAGGATGAACTGTCCCAACCGGGAAGAATTGTATGACTTTATTTTGCTTATGTTCACTCCCAGGTGCACTATAATTGCAGAGTAGACAGGAAATTTGGAGGGGATTTTTCCGGCTCCAAAAGCCGGGACATGTGCCTGATAAACAAAAGGGATGACATTCTGATGCTGATTATTTTTCTTTTGTCCCAAAAATGTCCTAAAGTGTGTTTTTAGTTGTCCCAACGTAAATTTTATTGGTCAGTGGCCACTGGATCACCTTTAATTTTGAGCCCTGCATCAAGCTGCTAGAGGCCTGACCAGTGGAAGGGCTACTACAAGCGTGATGTAATCGGCTACGTGATTGGTCAGACTTACGTTTTCTCGTACTCCATGGACACGTTACACGTGAAGATGTAGGCGTCCTCCACCCTCTTGGGCATGTCGGGATGGCGACCGCCGTGGTCCATCACCAGACCGCGAACCAACCTGACATTAGTGACAAATGGTATTTTAGAGCTTCATCAAAATATTGCTGTTTGTTATGTTGGTACCAGTAAAACAAGCTACTGTAAGTCTTGAAATATTCGTGGTTGTTTAATCCTTGAATTTTTCGGTGACAAATTCATGACTCCTGTACTACAGAACTGTTTCAATTGCAAACTGTAAACTAGAGAAGTAACACTTGCAAAGCAAATGTATAATGTTTACCTTCGGACATGGTCTGCCCTGTTAATTTTTACTCAAAACATATTCACATACATGTACTACTAGTATATGGTGACAGGAGCAAAGCAGACCATGAAATTGCAACATTATGTAACCCAACACCAGTCACCATGGTGACAGACGTCAACAAATCATGTCATTGGCCAGGTCAGAGGTTAGTGTTTGGAACAGAAGAAGAGGAAGAAACTGAGTAAAAACAATATGTTTTTCTTCAGTAAACATAACAATGCAAAAAAAATCCCCAGGAAAGCCATTTTTGTGTGAGAACTTACTGTGTGTCGGAGTCAGTCTTGTGCTGCATCTCCATAATCTCCACCATGTGAAGGTCCAGGGGTTCTCCTTCCTTTCTTATAGCAAGGACGGCATCAACTATGCACTGCAATCAACAAGAAATTGGACATTTCAGACCTCTGGGAAGTATGTCAACCTACTCTGTCCAGACAGACACACAAAACCACACCTCAGAAGTCAATCAAATCAACTGCCAATTTTATGTCTCAAGCATGTGATTTAGGCCACACCAATTTAATTTCTTGGTTAACGGATTCGCCGCTTCATTTCTTTCTGATTTGCAAATAAAAATAAAAATTCAGAATCAACTGCAAAATGCTCATATTTTGCCCTGAACAGTTGAAAACAGTCCTTTTCTTACTACTTACTGTTTCCAGACAAAGCATATACAAGTGTACAAAATAGTCCATGCATGTAATGGGACAAAGTACATAAATTATTCAACACATACAATACATTACATAAAAAAAGAGTGTGTCAATTAATTAAAAGACATAACTGCTTCAAACTTTGAATACATACACCAAATATTTCATGAATAAACAAAGGCTAAACAAACAAACAAACCTCTGTCAGGTGATCGGCCAGGTCCTCGTGTACTTTGGTCCTGAGGGAAGTTCTGGCCACGTTGATGAGGATCTCCCTGTTCATGTCCTGCTGTACCTTCACCTGGTCCAACACCTGGGAAAAACAGAAGGTTGTGGTTTTATGGTCTATGGGAGACATCTAGCAGGTGCACATCAAACTGCAGCCTGTCAGAGTTTAGCAGCAAAGACTATAGTATAGAAACACTACTTACCTCCAGGGCCTTTGTCTTGGACAACTCGAACCCTTCAACTACCAGTCTAGGATGCAGACCCTGTAAGACAATAGAGAAGAACTGTAAATTCAAATGACAAAAGGATGTAAGAAGAATGACAAAAGGATGTTAAAAGTCAACTGACAAAAGGATTTTAGACTTACGGAAAGGATTTTGGGTTTTCTAGGCCTTCAAGCAAGTTCCCCCCATTTCCTGTGTCTGACCTTTTGAGCTGTTATCCTGCCTGTCATGTTCCCCCCACCCATGTGGTGTCAACCCACACTGTCTGGACAAGCATATACACATGCCCACAGACAATCTACCCAAAACAATACCTCTGTAGGCCACACCAATTTAATTTGTTGGTTCTCAGATTTTTCCAGAAAAAAATGAAGCGACAGGGCAGGAAAAAAAAATAAAAACAGGTCTAGGCATCCTATTATAGCCCTAAATGCTACGATAGGAGCCATGTCAACACAAAAGGCTGGGTTGATATTTAAAGAACAAACTTCGAACTTTTAATCAAACCACTGCATTGATAGATGGAAAAACTGTAACAACTAGAAAGAAAAGCACTTTCCTCAACTGTTGGGGACAAAATATGAGCATTTTTTAATTGATTCATAACCAGAATCTTTTTTATTTATTCTAAATCAGAAAAAAATGAAGAGGTGAATCCGAGAACCAACAAATAAAATTGGTGTGGCCGTACCCGGAAACAAAAACTTGAATTTTACCTCAGAGATGTAGAGGTCGGCTTGTTTCAGCAGCTCTCCTATGATGAGGACAGTGGAGGTGGTCCCGTCACCGGTGATGTCATCCTGTGCTGTCGCGACTCTCGCGATCAGCGACGCAGTCGGGTGCTGGATTTGCTGTACGCAAGAATGGCACAAAACGTGATGTAAAAAGAAGAATTCTGAGAAATTGTACTGAAAGACAGATGGCGAAAAGAACACGGTGTTCGATAAGTTTGAAGTAGTGCTGCATACCTAATAAACCCATATTTAGGTTCAGGTCCAGATTCAAGTCCAGAGGTTTAGGTTCAGTTCCGGACTTGTAAGTCCGGACCTAAACCCCTGGCACGTGGCATATACAAAATTGCATGTTGGCAACCTTAAAATGTTGTCTGGGTGAAACTTTGGCCACATAACATGGAGGCCGGTACTTGATGATGCCCGATGGCAATGTTTTCTTCATTTTGCAGCACAGATTTTGCAACCTACGGAAGGTTTTAGGTGATTTGGAAAGAAAAAGGGTGTGTGAAATGGTCTTTAATGGTAATAAGTCCGGACTCAGTTCTTGACTTTTAGGTTTTTTTTGGACTTGAACCTAAACATTCTTACAAGACCGGATCCAAGTCCAGTGAACTGGTACGCAGCACTAGTTTGAAGTATGCATGCAGTACCCACACTGCACATGCACACTTACAACAGCATATCGACAGAACGTACTGCGCCTGCAGGAAACTTGGATTTTTACTCCGTGAAGGAGGTCAGGACCTCCGGACGGAGTGTTGTAATCGGCTGATTTTTCATGTTCGCAGTCAAAACACTGGGTTCTCTTTGTGTAATCGGCACGCAATTTGATACGCCGTCTGCGGGCATGCCCGTGTTGATGCACGAATGTGTATTTTTGCCGTTGCTGCTTTCGCGGTCAATGTAATATCGCAGACGCACCCCTACAATTACGAGGCGAATTGGAACGGTCCAGAAAAACGCGTTGTTTGGAATAGCGGGGGGGAGGTAAAAGGTTCATGCAGATACGGGGTGGTTTTTATAAGTGGTTCCAGATGTTTTTGCCCACGGTTAAGAGATGCCAAGTTTTTTGGAAGATGTTCGCAGCCAAAACGCATTCTGCCGTACGTCGCATATCTGTGTAATTTCGCATGTGGTGTTGCATTATGTCCGGGATGATGCACGTCTTTTTATTTTTACCGTAGCTGTTTTGATATTGGAGTAAATGCATATTTTAGAAACATCCCTACTTTTACAATCCTGTGGAATAGGCCGTAGGTTTAGGCAGTTGTCTGGTAGCAGAGGTACTGTAAGCAGATATCCTGGTTATCTGGCCGACGGTAGTACTAGTAACACTCGCGGTGATTACAGCAACTCCAGGCGCGCTTAATTAGGTACAGGCACGGTAAGACGGTGGGGCTGACCATGATAGTCCGATCTTTACCTTCGCCAAGAAGGTTATGTTTTCAGAGGCGTTCGTGTATGCGTGTGTGTGTGTGTGTGTGTCTGTAAACACGATAACTTGAGAAGGCCTTGATGGATTGTCTTGATACTTGGTAGGTGGGTAGGTCTTAATGAGACCTCAAAATGATTAGATTTTGGGCCCCCTAGCAGCTTGTTACGGTACTGCAGCTGAACTTCCGGTTTTGATATCTCATGATCCAGACATGCCAGGGTGACGAAATTCAGATGGCACGTAGCTCTTGTGCTGGGAAAGAAGTGACGTGAGTTTGGGCCCCCTAGCGGCTTGCTCTGGAACTGCAGGACTATCTATTTGAATATATTCAAAAGAGAATAACTCAAGAATCGGTTGACGGATCGTCGTGACTTTTGGTATGCATGTAGCTTACGTGATGCTTAATATAATTATGTGACAATTATGCAAATATGGATGTAATTTGCATAATTTATGGAGAAATTCTATAAATCAGCTGCATTCCATCATAGGACTATTGAAGCTTGTCGCATTGGTAATTGAGAACGAGATAGACACAGGCAGATATTGATTATTTAAATGAATACTTAATTTGCATAATTAATGAGAAAATGTTATAATTCTGTAATGATAACTGCCTGGAATTTCATATTTATGGTCTTTGAAAGTACAGTGAAGGTGAACATCATTAAACATAATGTATTCAAATCAGGACCTCATTTGCATAATTTATGAGGAAATGCTAGAATGGCATTGTTTGTTAATATAAGACTGTCTTTTGGTTGAGAATATGATAAACTGATAAAATTCATAAGAAAGAGGATCCTATTTGCACAAGCAGGGGGAATAATCTATCATTTGTCAGCCATAAAGATTAACATCATTTGGCGAAGGTATGAGATCGGGGAGCTCTAGTTATGTGAATGCAATGATTGTGTGTGTGTAATTAAAATGAACTTCGAACTTGAAGCACAGTATCTTTACACGCCCTGGGAGCAGTAATGGATTTAGCTCTTTGTATGTTTTATGCTTGTGACGCGCCGTCATTGTATTAACCGTTGCCTAATTTAATATAATGTCTGCACAGTAGGTCTGGCGTTGACGCTTGGGATTTTGTTTAAATATGTAAAACTTCACGGAGGATTGTCACCTATGGCTTCTTGTTTAATGGTTTTCGTTGGATGTTTTCTCATCTTTGCATCGCTGGCAGCAGAATAATCAAAGCCTGGATATGTATGTATGTATGTATGTATGTATGCATCAGAATTTTGTCTGTTACAGACAATATCTTTCCCAACACAACATTTGAAAACTTAAGACGGGACATTATCCTTAAATAGGGGACTACAACGTTAAACGATACATTCTGCCAAAGTGCTATGTATAATACATTACAGGTTTTGTGCAGGCATAATATGTTCTGCCAACGGGCTAGTTTGAATCGTGAACTGGTATCTCTTCTTACCATTTCATGCAGCAGCACATTGCCATCTTTGGTCAGCTTGATATCACCTGCACCTGACACCAACCTGCAAACAAAATGTATCTTTAGTAGTCATAAAATCATTGCAGCGGGTTTTTTTTTACACTCTTGTTGTAGACATGTGCTGTTTTACAGTTACTAGTACAGAATCTAAACTGCAAACTCAAAGACCATAGTGAAATCTAGATAATGAGAGGGTTGAGAAGTGAATAAGAGGGTTGAATTTCTTTTGTTTCTTTTCTTCTTTCCTGTTCATTCGATACCATCCAACAAACAGATTCCCCAGGGAATCTGCATTATTTTTGTTCCCTTGTGTACATATTAAAATTACACATACTGCGTTAAAATTACAAATATCCAAATATGGGCTATCGTCGTCGTATAATAAAAGTGTGGAAAATAGAAAAATGCTTGTCATCTACATCTATAATTTCTACTATCTGCACAGCCTTCTTGGATAATTAAATTGCATTAACTTCATCAGCCATGGAACCGCTATACGTAAAAGTAGAGGACTAAAACTGCCACAAAAACAGTTTACGAATGTTCAATTTACGTTTGTGTAGGAGAAACGGCTAACGGAAAAGACTATGTTGAGTGCAAATACATTCTGCCGGCTCCAGAATGTTCCAGATCTTTGCACGTGCTTCTCTTGCCCACCCTCCTGTCACCACAAAAAACGGTAAAAATCGTCCCCGTAGGAGCCGACACTCACATCTTCATGGTGCCCTTCGGTCCAAGGTTAGACTTGAGAACGTCTTGGAGACCTCTAGCTGCGGAGATATTGACGGCCAAGGCCTGTGCGGCCCTGGCAACTTCGGCCTTCGGGTTGAGAGCCTTGATCGCAGCCATCTTTGTCAGTCTTTCCCGGTCTCGTCGTTGGGGAGAAATCTCGCTATTTCTCGCGATGCTGAAGTCCCGCGTAGTACGAGATTTACCGGTTGAGTCCACTACAAAAATAGGGCAGGTAAGGTTTGTACTTGTTTCACAATATACCCTTATATAAAACGAAAGAAACAATTTACTAAATAATATTTCTATACAAATATATGCTTATTACTAATAAATATATATTACAGAGCAATTTGGGTTCCAAATTGTAGTACACTGTAAAGAAATAAAAGGTTATAAAAAGTTTGTTCCCCCCAAAACTCGGTGTAATTAGTAGGCGAAAGGTCAACGTCCTTGTGGCCGGAGGACCACATCGACGCAGGCGTACAGCCACGACCACCTCCGTTTCTCCCAAGTTGTGTCCCAAGAAATCTCCATTTCTTGAAGAAACCGGGCAACAGATAAAGGTACGAAGGCGTTTTTCTGTTTCTCTAAGATGTTACCTTACACCATTGCTCGACATATATGCCTTGAAAGATATTTTCGTACCGTTTTATACTGCTAAACTGTGCTAACCTTACCCTATATAGAACGCCTCTAGCCGGCCGTTGCGCTTTGATATCCAAGCAGATATGCCTATGTATGGTTCTTTGTTATACGTTTTGGTTCTCATTTTATTATTAGATGACTATAAAGCATATGACCACACGATAAAGTTTCCTATACCTCCAAAAGACCTACAAAAATCGTACCATTTTAATAGCTTTACAATTCAGCCAAGAACATCCAAACATCTGCTTGGATACTTAGGTTTGCCGACGTTTCGTAACATAGCAGTCATTTTCTGTCAGTCATTTTTAAAACCAGATTTTGCCAGAGACTCGGATTCACTTAAATGAATCACACGTCCGGTCTTTTAAGGTGTCAAGCAAGTACATGATTTTTTGAAGGTCTTTGACCCCATCTTAAATTTTCATGCAACACATGGCGTAGTTTACACAATAGGTGAGTCATTGACCGGTATAGGGATCACGTAAGCCACACACAGTGTAAAACTATAAAAGGGGACAGTGTAAGGGAACTTCAAGACAGTTTAAAACTCTCTGTAACACGGATTTGGACACCGACTAATATGAACTGTACTGGTAATTTAACCATTGTAGAGCTAGAGGGGCCTGCAACTTGTTATAATGTGAGTACCAGGTAGTTTTGCAATTTTTGAAATTATTCTGAGTCAAAACTTGTTGTTCTGATTCTAGCCAACAGCTGTCATAATTCCTTCTTTTTCCTTGCTATAGCCATTCTCTCATTGGACAAAGTGCTAATTGCTGTCCTATCATTGGTTGAACTGCTAATCTACTCTACTCGTCACATGTGGCACCTGTTTAGTGATTTCCTCATATAGGCATTATAGGAAAGTTAGGGTTTCAGTCAGAGTTTTATAATTTTCTGATCACAGAAAATGATTGTACCATACACGCAGCATACATGATCAAATGTGTATACATTTTTTGTGCACTAATTATTAAAATTTACAAGCTCATGTATTCACGTGTAGAAAACGTGTACATGTCTGTCAACGTTGTATGCCTAACGTTGACCTCAAGCCACACCTTTGTATTTCGTCACATCAGTACAGTACATACCATATTTGGTCATGTTGGAAAAAAGTCCAGTCTTCAGCATGCCAAAGGTCAACATTATCTATTGAAAGTATGTCATTATTGGAAACACGGGGTCAATGTGTGAATAAAAACATTGACTTGTTGGGGTGTTGGATTTGATCCAATTTGTTGGCCTTGACTCAATGCTTTAGTTCAAAGTGCTAACTATAAAACTGTCTTGAAACATGGTAACATTATACTAAATCTAGTTGTATCATCATTACAGCACCAAAATTTTGTCATGATGGCCGATTAGCGAGTATCGTGCTTTTTGGAAATGCCTTGTTTAGTTCAGAAGCAAGATTTGTGCAGGTATTTAATAGTAAGTCAGTTATAAATATAAGGCTCAAATGTCAAAGAACCCATCACACTTATCACAAAGAGTCCTGGAGTAGCCTCATAATACATATGCAAGCTATACACTATCAGCTTCAACTGATGTCTAGCAGAAAGAAAGTACTGTAGTAGTTGTTGTTATTGTTGTTGTGACACAGTTGCTGTTGTTGTGACACAGTTGACACAGTTGTGTTATTATTGTGTTCATATATTTTTCCTCATGGAAAGCTTGATACACTCTATCCTTCATGGTACATATTCAGTTTTATCTTACAGATTTGTACACAAGTTACCAGTGACTTACATAAAAACATGGTGGCCATGTCTTAAGTGTGGTATTTTCGATTCTGTCTGTGTTTGAATGTCTAACTGGGTCACTCCTTCATTGATATGCATCCTTTCCCTGACATGTCAATCAAGTTGGCAAACTTGCCCTGCATTGCAAAGAGATTGAGAACTATAACACATAACACTAAACTAACAGTTGTACTGAATTCCAAAACAAAGCAAATATCTGTAAAACCTGTTGTAGTTTGTTGGTGCAATCTATTTTTTAATGCAATTTTTTGTGGTGCCTTTGTGGTGTCATATGCCTGAGTATGTAGCTCGGCTAGCAGAGATCTAGACAGCAGGGTTCCATTCCTGAGGGCCTGCAAGCCCTTTTTCGTAAGGCGTAATCAAGCCGTTTTAGACTTCGTAATTCGTAGGCAGCCTCCGCAAAAATCAACGTAATTCGTAATTGGACATTAGCCGCAAATCGTAAGGTCGTAATCAGCTCTGAGACTTAAACGTAATTCGTAATAGGCGGCGAAAAGTTTGCGTAATTCGTAATCACTACCCCCCCTTGCGGGCCCTCATTCCTTGCCTTTCGGGCAATCCTTGGGAAAGGCACTTTTCATGGCTTTCCTCACTCCAGACCACCCAGGTGCAAGATGGGTGCCTGACTTGGGTTGGGACTGGTAAAACTAAAAGATGATTGAAGAAGAGTGATGTGGGCTCAGCCGCTCTGCCTTGCAATATTGTGCCCTAGACACAGTGGATAACCACCCACTGCTCCTACAACCTCAAAAACACATATGGGCAATGGAACCTTTGCTTTACCTTGCCCTTTGGGTACCAATGTTGTTCAATAGGCCAAGGTCAAGGATACGTGTAAATTGGCAGACTTCCAACTCTGTACAAGGCATATACCCTGCCCTCCTGGTTAATTGTCAAGGTCATACTTTCATTTCAATCTTCCGGATCTTAGCGGGCAATTTCGGAGTTGGACTTCAGCCTCTGGTGGTGTGATGGCATGGCGTGACAAAGACGACCTAATTTCTGATATACATGTTGTATATATACATATATAGTTACTGCAGATTGACCGTAAGGTCAAGTTGGATAGAAGTGGTGGCATGATGTGATGAGGTGGTGTGACAAAGACCTTGAGCTAATACATACACATATTTGGTAACTGCAGATTGACATTAAGGTCAAGTTGGAAGGAAGTGATGGCTCGTAGACTACTAGAGTAGGAGGAAGTGATGTCACACACTTAGGGCTTGTTCACAACAAGATTTCTGGCCACCTTGTACTGTAGTACAAGTACTGTAGGCCTGTTGAAAGTATGTCAGACCATCTCTTAACTTTAGAAATGTCAATAGTTAAAACTCCTATAAGGCCACACCAATTTAATTTCTTGGTTAACGGATTTTTCTACAAAAATAATGGAGCGGGCGGGGAAAAAAAAAATAAAATAAAAACAGGCCTAGGCATCCTATTATGGCCCAAAATGGTACCATAGGAGCCATGAAGTCAACACACCAGGCTGGTTCAAAATTTAAACAATGAATTTTGAACTTTTAATTATACTACTGCATTGAAAGATGGAATGACTGTTACAAGTGGTAAGAAAAGGACTGTTTTCAACTGTTCAGGGCAAAATATGAACATTTTGCAGTTGATTCTGAATTTTTATTTTTATTTGCAAATCAGAAAAAAATGAAGCGGCGAATCCGTTAACCAAGAAATTAAATTGGTGTGGCCTAAACGTGAGAAAAAAAGCTCACCTACAGTAGACATCAACTTCAATCAAGATAGAAAATGTGCCTTTGTCATGAATCAACTTTGTCTTGGTCTTGGTTACAACAGGCTAGCTCAAGTTAACACACTGGCTTTTATATAACGTTCCACAGCTGGTCTGACTCATTGACGTCATGCCTGGCCATGTAGTTAGCCAATCAGATGGTTAAACTTTAACCAAGACATGTCGTAACAGCAGGATGACGTAGTCTGTCTTAAACTAAGTTAAAGGTATTTACTAGACGTGTTGCCAACAGTTCACATTGCACCGGGCGGCACGTCACTCAGACGACACATGACACACTTCCTATCAATAAGTATCATTCCTGCGGTTTGTTAGGGACTGTATCCATAACACTTAGGCAAATGACTGAGAGTTGCTAGGGAAGAACGGAAGAAGAAATGCCCACACGCTACATTTCTTTTGAAATCCAGGGTTTGGAGCCTTACACTACAGAACTGTTAAGTACTTGATATCTTTATCGCGTCAAAAAATCTTTTCAGTCAAGTATAGTTATCACTTATTATACAGCCAATCCTATTGCTTATAAGTTATACA